GGCCCGGCCCCCCCCCCCCACCCCCCCAGCCCTGCCGCGCCCCCGCGACCTCAGGCTCCTGGGCGCCCCCTCCCTCCCACAGGCAGCTGGAGCCTGAGTCACGAGCTGCCTCTCAGGAGACAAAGGCAGCTGCCGGCCCTCCCCTCTCCCCAGACCCCTTCTGGGTAGAGCGTTCGCAGGAGGCCACGAGGCGGGAGTCCAGAGTCCCCTCATCTCTGCTTTGAGTTAACACTCCATCATCAGCAAAGGAGGACTTAGGCTGTGGGTGGTCACAGCCCCAAGGGCTCGCCCTGGCCGCCTGCCCCCGGTGCTCCCAGGCCTGTCCTCCCTGCAGGCGGCCAGAGAAGTGCCAGTAGCCCTTACAGAGGAGGAAACGGGCCTAGAGAGGCTGGGAGCAGGGTGCCCATCCACTCAAACGCACCACGTGAAGGACTGGAGGCTCTCCATGTGAGAGCACCCCAGCCCCCTCGTTCACTGCTAAGCAGAGCTGGCAGTCTCCCCATCTAAAACGGGGACACTGAGGCTCTCGCACTGGCTTTCCCTGATCACGACCTCTCAGAACCGCTGGCTTTCCATGGCCAGCGTGGGCACCAGGCAAAGGCCTGGCAGTGCAGGCAGGACATGTGTGTACACATGTGCCCCCGGTGCAGGGGAGGCCCGCATGGCCACGCTAGCCCCAGACAGGCACACTCGCACTGCCATCGAGAGAGCACACTCAGACACCAGCACTCAGCTGCCAGCGCTCCAGCTGGGGGCGGGGCGGGTGCCCTTCAGGCGCAGACTCTGCTCCTCTGCCCGCCCCGCGCGGGGCTCGCTGCAGATGCCAGGGGTTATTTTAAGCCTGGATCAATGGACGATTTTTGGTGACACAGGCTTGGGGGGACGGGCAAAAGAGATAAGGGGCGGGTGCCCGGAAGCCTTTGCTGTAGTGAGGGACCCCAGGGTCCAGGGCAGAGAAAAAGGGTCACTCCTCAGCCGGGCTGCTCCATCCTAGATCCCTGTGCCCAGCACATGGCTGGCACCTGGGGGGCAGTATCAGCTGAACGGATGCCCAGGTCCCAGGACTTAATTAGAGGATTCGCTCTTCACAGTTGCCCTCTCCTGCCCCGCCTTGCCCCTAGGGCCAGAGGTTCAAATGGAGAGGGCACCAAGGGCCTGGCACAGCCCTGGTGGATATGGGCACCTATGGTTGCTGGCTGACCACTGAATGAGATGAGGAGGAAGCCGTGTGTGTGTGTGTGTGTGTGTGGTAGGGAGGCATTGGGGGCTGGGTGTCAGTCTCTGGCAGGGCTGAAGGGGCTGAACCCAGCTGCTGCACTGGATAGCGGCCGTCACTATGTACTGATCTGCAGGCCAGGGGGAGACGACCTGAACCCGAGCTGTGCAGAGGGCCCAGGCCAGGCCGGGCTGGAGGGGCCTGCTCGTCCCACAGTGGGGCTGGAGGGACCTGCCTGCCTGCCTAGGAAGAGGCCACAGTCGCATAGGGGCAGAGGCAGGCCTCACCAAGCCCAGTGACAGGGGAAGGCCAGGGAAGAGCTCCCCCACCCTAGGGTCTATGCAGCCTGGAGGGCTGCCTGGCAGCGCCGGCAGATTCATCAGTGCAGGACTAGTCTGTGCTGCGGATCCCATTTCTAGGAATGCCCCAGCTGCAAAGCTCAGAGCAAAGTAACAGGCGAAAAGTCTGAGGACAGCAAAGGTGAACTAAGCACCGTTGCAAAACAGCCTAAGTGGCATATTTGGGTATGGTTGTCACTGGTGGTGAGATTAAAGCAATTTCACTTCATTGCTTTGCTCATCTACTTTTCTTCTAAAATTGTAACAAGGGAAGTCTTTTAATGGGAGTCTTCTGGGTTGGATGGGACGTGCGTGTGTGTGTATGTGTGTGTGTGTGTATGTGTGTGTAGAGGTGGGGAACAGCTGTGTTTGCCAGCGCACAAGGACACACTTTGAGGAGAGAGGACATAGCTGGGAGGTCGCCCCTTGCCTACTGAGTCCATTAATATCTGAACGGAGCCTGTCAGCCCCTCATCTCAGGCAACAGAAAGATTTGATCCTCGTTAAAATGCAAATCCCACCTCCTCCACTTTTATAAGCTAATCCCGGTGGGTGAGTGAAAGGGGGCTGGGAGGGGAGCAGGAAGGGCCTGGGATAGCCCACATGCTTCCTGATCCAGAAACTAGAGGCCAGAGCCCTGTTCTCAGTTCATTCAGCCAATACCAGGAGGCCTGAGGTATGCTGGGGACATCGGACTGCTTCCTTGCCCTGGCAGTGGGGGCTCTATGGACCCCTGCCCCTGGAGTGGGCAGGTGATGAAGCTGGGACCTGACCGATGTTGAGAAGAGAAACGAGGCAGGGAGAAGCGAGGCTCTCGGCAGGGTCACACTCTCTAGTTACATCCAGCTCGGAAAACAAGCCAGAGCCTGAGCCATGCTGGGGCCAGGCCCCTGCTTCTGGCCGGTCCCCTCTACCCTTCCCTGTCAACTGGGGGAAGGAGTTGTAGGTCTCGGTCGTCGAGTCCACCATGGGCCGACCCTCCTCCGAGGGCGTCCAGTCCACCTCCCATCACACCTGCGGTGGGGAAGGAGAAGCAGATCGCGGCAGGGCTGCACCCATCGCCCTGGGCACGGCGACATCCTGGGGCCCCAGCCCACTGTACCCTGGGGTGGTCCCTGGCCCCAGGCAGCGCGGAGGAGACCGAGGCGTGTCCCCCTGCAGGGCTCTGCAGGGTTTCTTTCCCACTCGGCAGGCGGGAAAGTCGAGGCTCGGTAGAAGGAAAGAGGCCGCTTCGTGTCACAGTCAGAACCGACTTAGGGAACGGGAAGGAGGTAGGGGCAGGGCACGGACCCTCCCAGGACAATTCTGGGCTCTCTGACCCCCGCTCTTCGGTCCCCGCACCTACAAAACAGGACGCGGGCGTCGCGGACCGGCGTTTCGGGAGCCGGAAGCGGAGCCACCGAAGCAGCCAGCTCCGAGGAATGTTTGGGGAGGG